GTAATACTAACAGCCTTACAAAGTAGGCATACTGTTATTATTTTCACTTTATGAAGGTGGAAGTTGAAGAACAGCCAGATTAAGTCATTTTCCCACTTTCCACAGTAAGTGGCGGAGTCACGATTTGAAGCCATGCAGCCTGGCTCTGGAGTCCTTGCTCTTATACCATAGTATTGGAATTCAGTTGATGCCCTAGATCAGTTTGTGTGGAATTCATGCCTTACATCATGATTTCACCTATGAACAAGGCCTCACTCTTCATTTAAAGAGATGTTTTTTAATGTGTTTCAGTTATATAATTATCTCTATACACTTGCATTTCTTCAATTAGATTTAGTCATAGGCACCTAAGCTTTTGTTGTTGTAAATGATATATTCATTTGAACTGTGTGTTCTGTTTGCCTATATTTAGAAATAGAATTGGTTTTTGTTTTATTTATGTATATTTCTATGTAAATACAGATATATACATAAATAAAAAATATACATATATTGATCATGTAGCCATTTACCTGTTGAACTTTCACTATAATTTGTCAAGTCTCTTCAGACAATAATATCAGCAGGTAATAATTTTGTGCTCCCCTCCCCTTTATCTTATGTTCTAAGACCTCCATATAACGAAGTATTGAAAGTGGAGTTCTTGTCTTACATCTTTTTTTTTTTTTTTTACACTTTTATAATTTTTACTACTTTAATGTTAGGTTTTTTATAGAACCCTACATCAGATTAAAGAAAATTCCTTCTAATTTTCCAAGTGCTTTTGAACTATATGAATATTGATTTTTATCAGCTGCTTTCTGAGATGATTATACTGTTCTTTAGTCTATTATTTATAATATTTTTCTAATATTAGGCACTATTTATTTGCTGACATCTAACTTCGTCATGATTAATTACTTTAAAAAATACTGATTTGTCTAGGATTTTGACATCTAAGTTTATATGTAAGATTGGTCTGTGATTTTCCTTTATTTGTACTATCCTTAACTGATTTTGGTATTGAGGTTATACAAGCCACATGGGATAAGTTAGAGAATGGTCTTTTTTGCCTATTCTCTGGAAGTTTGTGTAATATTGGAATGGTCTATACTGTATCCTATATAATAAAATGCCAGCCACCATAAGCGTAACGACCGGAATGACCAGAGACTAGAACCACCAAGGCCCCTTGCAAGGCTGGCCCCGCCCCCAAGCATCAGGCAGGCAGGCAGAGTGGTTAGTGGTGATCAGGTAGGCAGGCCGGCCAGTGGTTAGGGGCAATCAGGTAGGAAGACGGCCCCTTGCCGGGCTGGCCCTGCCCCCCTGCAAGCAGTTAGGGGTGATCAGGCAGGCAGACAGACTGGTTAGGGGTGATCAGGTAGGCAGGGGCGATCAGGTAGGCAGATGGCCCCTTGCAGGGCTGGTCTCGCCCCCCAGCAAAGAAAGAGGGAGGCCCAGGCCACCAGCAGCGACTCTCTGGCAGGTGTGTGGCCGGCCAGCGATCTCCCCGCAGAGGGAGGCCCAGGCCAGCCAAGCCATTGCACCCCACGCCTGTTGCCTGCAGAGGGAGGCCAACAGTGGCAGGGGAGGTGAGGACAGTGCTGCACAGATGCCAGACAGTGTTAGCAGCTGGGGGAAGGAAAGCCCTGATAGGCCCTGATCTCAGGCCAGGCCTAGGGACCCTACCTGAGGAGTCCTTGATTGTGAGAGGGTGCAGACCGGGCTGAGGGACCCTCTTCCCCCCCTCCCCGAGTGCACAGATTTTCGTGCACCAGGCCTCTAGTAAGCTCATAAAACTCAGCTGTAAAACAATCAGGTTTTGTGGGAAGGTTTTTAATTACTGATTTAATATCTTTAATAGTTATAGGATGATTAAGATTTTTTTTAATTCTTGTCACTTTCCTTTGGTAATTTATTTTTAAGAAGGAGACTGAGCTAAGTTTATAAATGTGTTGGTATCAAGTGTATAATAGTTTATGTATTGTTTAATCTCTGCAAGATCTGTAGTTGTGGTCCCTTTTTGGTTCTAATATTGTTTATGTGACATCTTTTTTGTAATCTTGTTAGAGATTGTCGTTTTTTATTTGTCTAGTCTTCAAAAACCAACCTTCTGCTTTTTTAATTGTGTGGTAGTTTTCTGTTTATTTGATTGCTACTATCTTTAGTATTTCCCTTCTGTTAGATTATTCTGTGCTTTTCTAAGTTCTTACATTAATTTTCCATATTTTCTTTTTTTGTTTGTTTACTTTTATTATTGACAGTACTATATACAAATGTCTCTCATTTTCCCCTTTCTTTGCCCAACCTGTTCCCTGCCTACCTTTAGCACACTATTGTCTGTGACCATGGGTTATGCACCATCTTTTCTAATGTAGTTTCTTAAAGATTAAATTTCCCTCCAGGACAGTTTGCATCTCTTTTTTTAAAAAACAAAACAAAAAGAAACCCCAAACATTTTTATTGATTTTGGGAATGGTGAGGGAGAGAGAGATAGAAACATCAATGATGACAGAGAATCATTGATCGGCTGCCTCCTGCACTCCCCACTCTGGGGACCGAGCCCACAGTTCGTGCATGTGCCCGACTGGGAATTGAACCTTGACCTCCTAGTTCATAGGTTGATGCTCAATCACTGAGCCATGCCAGCTGAGCTATTTTTAATTTTTAAAAATTTTTGATTCACTCACACCAGGCAGCTACTGTTGTATTGGCTGTTGGCTGTCGTCATTTTTTAAAAAAAATATATTTTATTGATTTTTTACAGAGAGGAGGAGAGAGAGATAGAGAGTTAGAAACATCAATGAGAGAGAAACATCGATTCAGCTGCCTCCTGCACATCTCCTACTGGGGATGTGCCCGCAACCAAGGTACATGCCCTTGACTGGAATCGAACCTGGGACCCTTTAGTCCACAGGCCGATGCTCTATCCACTGAGCCAAACCGGTTACAGCTGTTTTCATTTTTTAAAATTGACTTTAGAGAGAGGAATCTTATCTCTGAAGTCAATTCCTAAATGTTTAAAAATTTTTTTTTGACACCTTAGTTATCAGAAATGTGTTTTTAATTTGAAATGTATGGAGACTAATTTCCCATAAATTTTGTTTTACTAATTTAATTTGCATGGTGGTCAGAAAACTTGTTTATTTTACTGATCCTCTGAAAGTCCATAGTATATTTTTATTAATGTTCCATATGTGCTTGAGAAGAATGAGTATTCTGTTGTTTATTATCAACCTTGTTAACAATGTTTTGCTCAAATCTTACATATGTATAGCAATTTTTGCTTAAGGTATCAATAATTGAGAGAAGTATGGTATTCTCCCATAATCATTTTGGATTTTTCTATTTCTACTTGAATTTCTATTATCTCTTACTCTCTAAATATTAAGGCTATGTTAGATATCTGGAAGTTATATTTGTTCTGTCTTCTTGGTGAGTTACATTTTCATCTTCATGTTGTTATCCTTTCTTTCCCAGGTAATCTATACTAATAAAAGGGTAATATGCTAATTAGACCAGGAGACGTTCTGGACATCCTTCCGGACAAAGCCATGGTGGCGGGGCCGAGGCAAAGGTGGTTGGGGCAATCAGGCCAGGAGAGGAGGGCAGTTGGCGATTAGGCCGGTGGGGTGGGGGGCAGTTGGAGGTGAGCAGGCCAGTGGGGGGCGGTGGGGGCAGTTGAGGGCGAGAAGGCCTGCAGGTAGAGTGGTTAAGGATGATCAGGCAGGCAGACAGGTGAGCAGTTAGGAGCCAGCAGTCCCGAATTGTGAGGGGGATATTCGACTGCTGGTTTGGGCCCAATCCAGCAGTAGGACATCCCTAGAGGGATCCCAGATTGGAGAGGGTGCAGGCTGGGACAACCCCCCCCCCCCCCAAACCCGTGAGCGAATTTCGTGTACCGGGCCACTAATCCTATATAATAAAAGGCCAATATGCAAATTAACCGAACGACGGAACGACCGGTTGCAATGACGTGCACTGACCACCAGGGGGCAGACGCTCACCACAGGAGCTGACCCTGGTGGTCAGTGCGCTTTCACAGAAGCCCTGAGCTGGTGAGTGCAGTGGCGGTGGCGGGAGCCTCTTCCACCTCCGCAGCAGCTCCAAGGATGTCCGACTGACAGCTCCTGGACTGGGAGAGGGTGCAGGTTGGGTTGAGGGACCGCCTCCCCAAGTGCATGAATGTTGTGCACCAGGCCTCTAGTCCTTACTATATGCTTCTGCTTTGTCATTAGTATAGCTATTCATAAGTAGATTTAGGGGTATTAATATTTTTTTCTTACATCCTTTGCTATTAACCATTCTGTGTTTTTATGTCTTATAATCAGAATATAATAGGAATTATTCAAAGTACAAATCAAAAATCTCTGTTATGTAACTGATGAATTCAGTCCCTTTTATATTGTGCTGATTGTTGAGCTAATAAACTTGTCTACCCAACGCCCATATTATCCAAGTCTTTTTTGAATTGGCAATTTTTAAAAAATTCTGTTTTTCCCTATATTGTTTTGAAATTATACATTCGTGTGTGTGTTTGTGTTTGTGTTACTCTTAAAATGCATTGTACATCTATCTTTCGGTGAACTCTGTTGATTATAACGTTTGTTCTTTTTGTTTATCTATGGATGTCTTTGCTTTTTTCTTATTTTTAAAATATAATTTGTTGAATACATGTTCCTAGGTTGACTATCATTTTCTCTCAATACTTTGAAGATGTCCTAATTTATTCTGGTTTACATTTTTGATAAGGGGAATTTTGTGGTGTATCTATTTCTGGTTACTGTTCACCTTGCAAAATGATTATGTTAAGTCTTTAAGGTTTGTTTCTTCATATTCCCCCAATCTGGGTATTCACACTATGACATTTATCTTTTCTAGTTATAAATTAACTTTGCATTATAATCTAATGAAGCACTTTTGGTGGGAATTTTGTTTTTATTTTCTAGTACTTTTTGTTTTTTCTCTTGTTTTTTAAGTACCAAAACTTATGTTTTGTTTTGTGTATGTTTTTTCTTTAGTTGCCTTTCCCCACCTTCCTGGTTCTACTCCTTCATGGCCTAGTCTTGTGGACACCAGCAAGCAATGGGACTATTATTCAAGGAGAGAGAAGGACCGAGACAGAGACCGAGACCGAGACAGGGACCGAGACCGAGATCGTGATCGAGACAGAGAGAGAGAGCGCACCAGAGAGCGGGAGCGAGAGCGTGATCACAGTCCCACACCAAGTGTTTTCAACAGGTTTGTTGAGTGTGCTGTAGTTTGTATACATATATTTAATGTGTACTTTAGAATTTGTATTTGATTATAGGATGGAAAATTCGATTTAGTTGGGATAGCATTGCTCAAAGAGTATTTAGGATAACCATTTTAAAAGCATCAAGGCTATTTAATTCTTAGGGATTCTCATTACCTAAAGCAATAGTCTTCAAATTTGTTTACTTCTCTCTTAAGAGAATTTTGAAAACTTTGTACCCCGTCACATATCTTGCCATCTAAAATGTTTTTCATTTTAAAATTTTAAATACATAGTTGAACAGATTTTTGGGGGGAAGGGGGCAACAGAATTCAATCCAATTCATTTAGAAATTAAAGTTTCAGTTTTCTCATTTTCTTGGAAAAGGGTTTTACCAAGACTTGTCAAAAGACTACCAATTATTTATCTTAATATGCTCAGAGGTTTGGGGAAATTAAAATGCTATTATTACATCTTGGCCAAAACAGTCTTTAAAAAAATTAAACACCTTTATGTGTGTTAAGTATTTATTTCTAGCAAATTTGCTATATTCCATTTATGGAAAATAGCTACCATATAACTTAATTGGTAAAAGATAGCTCTCATTGTCAAGTCATACAGCCAAATCACATTGAGTTCTAGTTGTAAAAAGTCTGGCCTCATTTGCTATTCAGTCAAATGAATTCATCTGTATTCCATATCCAAGTCTAATTAGCAGATTAGCCACACAGCTTACAATAAGATGCTGCCTTTCAACACTTTGCTTTTCTTAAAAGGGGTTTCTTTCTTTTTTTTTTAAGTTTTTACTGGTTCAGGGAAAATTCTTATGACTCCCACCACACTATGATATATATGAAGTTAGAACTCCCATTTCTTACTCGATACTTTGTTCTTAAATGAACAGTGTATAAGATAGGAAAACCTAAATTCCTATAGATGCTTTATGGTTCCTTGAATAAAATAATTCTCACTGGCACTAATATTATAAACTAGAGGCCCGTTGCAGGAAGATTCATGCAAGAATAGGGCTTACTATGGCTGGAGCAAAGCAGAGAAGGGAGCAAAACCTGCTGAGGTGGGCTTCGCTCCCGCCCCCAGCCGCTGCAGCTGGGTGGGTTTTCCCAGCCCGCCCCCAGCCAATGCTGCTGGGTTTTCCCAACCCGCCCCCAGCCGCTGCAGCTTGGTGGGTTTGCCCAAATTGCCCACAGCCACTGCTGCTGGGTTTGCCCAACTCGCTCCCAGCCGCTTTGGCTTGGTGGGTTTTCCCAACCCGCCCCCAGCCGCTCAGTCTGGGTGGGTTTTCCCAACGCGCCCCCAGCCGATCTGTCTGGGTGGGTTTGCCCAACCCGTCCCCAGCCGCTCTGTCTGGGTGGGTTTGCCCAACCCGCCCCCAGCCGCTGCTGCCTGGTTTCCCCTCCCACTCCCAGCGGCTGTGGCTGGGTTTCCCCTCCCGCCTCCTGCCTCTGCAGCCTTGGCTCCTTTACTGTGTCCGCGGCTTCTACTTTGCTCCCTTCTATAGCCCTTGGCTTCCATGTTGTCTTCAGTCTTCGCTCAGAGCCAGTATATGCAAATTAACCGCCATCTTGGTTGGTGGTTAACCGCCATCTTGGCTGGCAGTTAATTTGCATATCGCCCTGATTAGCCAATGGGAAGGCTAGCGGTCGTACGGCTAATTACCATGTTTCTCTATTATTAGATAGGATTAGATCGGCTTGATGCCATGATGATTTTTATACCCTGAGCCAATGTACCATAGTAAAATTGGTGAAAGGAATGCCTTTCTTTTGTAAAGGGCAGGAGGGTGATTTTGAGAGAAGAGGTTAGCTGGAGAAGTGGCATGATGTTTTACATTAGGCAGTTCAGATTTAGGAAAGAGTAAATACGGATGTTGAGGATCTGGAAATTGACTCCCTAAAACATCTGTGCTATTGGAAAGAATTCATATATTGCTGTGGGGTTGGCATGTACTGCTGACCTAAAGAATAAATTCCTAATTCTTCTTATAATCCACAGTCATAGTCATGTACTTTTCTAGACTTTAGCCCTAGTTCTCTCGCAAGCCAGTGCACAGCATGACTGATTGCTGTTCTGGGAATCCCTCAGAGTTTTATACTTTGTTCATGTTGTTCCTTACCTCTCTGCCTCACAAACTTATATTAACTCTTCAAGGTCCTCTGTGAGCTTCTCTGAACCTGAAGGAATTAATTTTGTTCACATGTTCCCTAAACACTTTGTTTCTTTTTTTTTAATTCCTCACCCGAGGATATTTTTCCATTGATTTTTAGGGAGAGTGGAAGAGGGAGGGAAAGACAAAGAGAAACATCGATGAGAGAGAAGCACATTCATTGGTTGCCTCCTGCATGTGCCCTGTCCCAAAGCCCAGTCCGGGGAGGAGCCTGCAACTGAGGTACGTGCCCTTGACCGGAATAGAACCTGGAACCCTTTGGTCCACATCCCGATGCTCTATCCACTGAACCAAACCGGGTAGGGCCACTTTGTTTCTTAGTAAGTCTCTTTAAGGGCATTGACCACCATTTTTCCTTTCTGTATCCTCAGTACTTTGTACAGTAATGTCTGGCACACAGTATGTCAGTGAATAAAATGACATATTTAAGGAGAGGAAGGTGACTACAATAGAGAAAGAATAATTTTGAAAAACTGTTGGTGAAACTCTTAGGTAGAAGCTGTTTATCACAATCAAATCATTAATTTGGGCATCTTATAACATATCAGTCTAGGTACCATCACAATGTAGAATGAAGATAACTTTTTTATACCAACTATTTTTAGGGATAAGATAAATGTAAGATACATAGACAATTTTCTGATTTTGCTCGATGAGATGAAGCAGAATATCAGTTCAGGGTGTGAGGATATGCTTGATTCAAGCAGCATTTGTTTTGTTAGTTGTGGTCATCTAATTATATACTTCTTAATCCAAAAGGTACTTGGGGATTTATCTAGTCTAAATTTCTACTTATCAGGTGAGGAAATGGAAGCATAAAGAAGCATAAGACAATAGTCGAGCCATAATCTCAAAATGTGATCGAGATCTTAAAATCCTCTCTAGTCTTGAAATTAGGTAGTTTAAAATCTTTCTCATTTTCCTTATTATTCCCTATGCACTTGATTTTCTCCCCATTTTTAGGGGGCGGGGGCTGAAGGGAGTAGCGATTCATTCTTTCATTTATGTAATTGACATTTTCTGATTCCCTCTTATGTACCAGGCACAGAGCTTTGTGCTGAGGATTCAGAATTATTCATACACTGCCCTTTTTGATTTAACCATATAATATTGTCAAGGTGACAAAGACTGTTTAGTTGTTTGAAACTTTACCTAAAGCAGTGTACAATAAGAAACTGGACAGGATTTATTAATCTTTTTCCTTTCTGTAGTTCCTAATAATATGACTTACGCTTTGTAGGCACCTGATAAAATTTTAAATAAGTAAAGGTATGATACATATTTGTGTGTGTGTGAGTGTATGTTTTGTGTTTCTGTGGTGGGACATGTACTGTTAACTTGAGCCACGTAGGTCAGCATGATTCTGTTAAGTTCAAGAGCATTACTTTCCAGAAAGTTGAATAGTTTCTAATGTAGTTAAAATACTTGAGATAGCACTGTTAACTCTAGAATGTCCATACTCACAAGTTAAGGAGCTTAATGCAAAACTTGATAGGAAAGAAGACTAAAAGAAATGGCTTTGATGGCTTTCCTAGAGCTCATAAATTTTCTTTGCGTAAACATAAATAATACAGTTTATAGAATATTTGAGGCTAAGTTATCTGATTAAATTTTAAACACAGGTGTTGCTTTAATTTTTATTGAAACTAAAGTGTTAATGGTTAAACCACATTTAATTTTCAGGTTGCTATGCTGTAGAGCATCAGAAGTCAGTGTTTACCTAAATCTGACTAAAAGTTTAAGGCAAGAGGTGGAGGAATTTTGTGTTGTTTTGAATTATCCCAGGACTAAAGTGTTCTCTGGAAAATTCAAGTGAAGTATAAGTAAAGACCTTTTTTTTTTTTTTTGAAGACTGACATTTTAGCGATATGGCATGTAGTATGTGTTGTGTCACAAATTACAGGGTCATTGTTTTGAAAATTACAGACCAATTTTAACATCTGGTCTTGAGGCCACTTAATTGTGGGCTAGAATGAAGTCTGTTCATTCAAGGGTATTTGAATGAACTCTAATGATTTCCAGACCCAGAGAAACTTGTGCAGCAGCTGCTTATCAAAGAAGGGGCTAGAAGGAGGGATCTTTATATTTCATGTATGAGACCAAATCTTTTATCATCCGTGGAAAGTTTCCCATCATATGGCTGCCTTCAGTATCTTAAAAGGCCTCAAAGCTGTGAAGAATTGGTGCCAGGGTAAGAAGGTTACAGATGACAAATTATGAGATAATTGACTGTTTTAATGTAAATCTAGTTGGAATCATTACAAAGACAGCCTCGTTTTTAAAGAGGATAATATTTACTACCATATTCATTTGTCCTGGTGTGGGCTAATTATTCTGCTTCAGAAAAATTAATTATTACAGGATCGGTCACCTTTACAAAAAAAAGGTTCTACTTCTGAAAAATTTAACATTAAATTTACTGAAGATGGTGATCCTGTATATCAGCTGCCATTTATTGAGGGCCTTCTCTTCTACCAAGCACTTACAAATGCTATTGCCAGTTTTACAACAACCCTGAAAGAGATTGTTGCCAATTTTACAGGTGAGAGAACAGATGGATGCCTAGCAAGGTTGGTTAACTTACCCTAGGTCACACATTTAGTAAGTAGTAGAATCAAGATGTGATCCTGGGCCTGCTCTGCCTGTACTCCTCCCACTACTCTACACTGTCTGTCATGGCACATTGCCTTTTAGGTGACATGCTTCCACTTTCCAAATACAAAGTGCATATTTATGGTTAGGGAAAAAGTGTGTATGTACACACAAATATATATATATACTAGAGGCCCAGTGCACAAATTTGTGCACGGGTGGGGTCCCTCTGGGTGTCCTGCAGGGATCAGGCTGAAACCCACAGTCCAATGCCATCTGCAGCTCCTACCTGCCGCTCCTGCTCATCCAGGCCCCACTGTGCCTGCCGTGGGCTCATGCCCAATCAGTCCCAATCGGGAGAGGCTCACGCTGCCACAGCACTGCTCACCAGCCATGAGCCCTGCATCTGGCGCCCTCCCAAAGGGAGTGGCCTGTGGGATCGGGATGAAACTGGCTCTCCAACATCCCCCGAGAGGTCCTGGATTGCGAGAGGGCACAGGCCAGGCCCAGGGACCCCACAGGTGCATGATCGGGCTGGGGAGGGACCGCAGGAGGGCTCCAGGGTGTGACCGGCCCATCTCGCTCAGTCCTGATCAGCCAGACCCCAGCAGCAAGCTAACCTACCAGTCAGAGCGTCTGCTCCCTGGTGGTCAGTGCACGTCATAGCAAGTGGTCAACCAGTTGACTGTCTGCCACCTAGTGCTCAGTGCATGTCATAGCAAGTGGTTGAGCAGCCTTAGCATATCATTAATATATTATGCTTTCAGTGGTTGGTTGGTTGTTCTGCAGTTTGGTCTATTTCCATATTACCCTTTTATTATATAGGATGTATATTAATATTTTCTTGTTCTCCAGGGCAGGGGCACCCTGGAGAGGGTTAATGGGGGGAAAGGAGGACATATGTAATACTTTCAACAATAAAGATTAAAAAAAATGGTTTAAAAATGTAATGTATGGAAGTAATAACAACCTGGTCAGCAATATCTCTTGCATTAGGCACAGCACTACAGACTCATTACTTTTGCTAAGAAACCACAGACTGATTTGTTCTTTTATATGGCGTATATGTTCACCTTATTCTGTCTCCTATTGCTCCTACTCAGATCACTCAACTCCTTGATGCTTTTTTTTTTGATTAATTAAATCTTTATTGTTCAGATTATTACATTTGTTCCTCTTTTTTCCCCCCATAATTCCCCTCCACCCAGCTCCCACCACCCCCCCCTCACTCCCCAACCACTGTCCTCATCCATAGGTGCACGATTTTTGTCCAGTCTCTTCCCGCATTCCCCTCACCCCTTCCCCCCCCAAGAATAGTCAGTCCACTCCCTTTCTATGCCCCTGATTCTATTATAATCACCAGTTCATTCTGTTCATCAGATTATTCACTTGATTTTCAGATTCACTTGTTGATAGATGTGTATTTATTGTTCATAATTTGTATCTTTACCTTTTTCTTTTCTTCCTCTTCTTAAAGGATACCTTTCAGCATTTCATATAATCCTGGTTTGGTGATGATGAACTCCTTTAGCTTTTTCTTGGCTGTGAAGCTCTTCATCTGACCTTCAATTCTGAATGATAGCTTTGCTGGATAAAGTAATCTTGATTGTAGGTTTTTGGCATTCATCACTTTGAATATTTCTTGCCACTCCCTTCTGGCCTGCAAAGTTTCTGTTGAGAAATCAGCTGACAGTCGTATGGGTACTCCCTTGTAGGTAACTGAGTTTCTTTCTCTTGCTGCTTTTAAGATTCTCTCTTTGTCTTTTGCTCTTGGCATTTTAATTATGATGTGTCTTGGTGTGGTCCTCTTTGGATTCCTTTTGTTTGGGGTTCTCTGTGCTTCCTGGACTTGTAAGTCTATTTCTTTCACCAGGTAGGGGAAGTTTTCTGTCATTATTTCTTCAAATAGATTTTCAATATCTTGCTCTCTGTCTTTTTCTGGCACCCCTATAATTCGGATGTTGGTGCGCTTGAAGCTGTCCCAGAGGCTCCTTACACTATCTTTGTATTTTTGGATTCTTTTTTCATTTTGCTTTTCCGGTTGGGTGTTTTTTGCTTTTTCGTATTTCAAATCGTTGACTTGATTCTTGCGATCCTCTAGTCTGCTGTTGGGAGTCTGTATAATATTCTTTATTTCAGTCAGTGTATGCTTAATTTCTAGTTGGTCCTTTATCACAACCTTGAGGGTCTCATTAGATTTCTTGTAGGTCTCATTAAGTGTATCAGCAGTTTCTAGAAAATTCTTGAAAAACCTTAAACGTGTGGTTTTGAACTCTATATCCAGTAGTTTTCTTTCCTCCATTTCTGTCATTTGTGTCCTTTTTCTTTGTCTCCGCATTTTTTATGCTTCCCTGTGTTGATACAGTGGTTTTCTGTGCTAAGTGTCCTCTAGGGCCCAGTGGTTCAGCCTCCCCAATTACCCGAGGAAGACACTCTTGGTGCACCCCCTTGTGGTCTTTGTGCACAGTCTTGTTGTAGTTAAGCCTTGATTGTTTTTGGTATCACTGGGAGGAATTGACCTCCAGGCCAATTGGCTGTGAGAATCAGCTGTGTCTGCAGTGGGAGAACTTCTGTGCTGGAGCCACCCCTCTGGGGCAAGACTTGCTTCAATGGGGCTTTGGTACTCACTGAGTCTGCCCCCTGAGTGTGTCCTTTATGGTTCCACGGAGCTGCAAACCTGATTGTCCCACTCTGATCTCTGGGTACACTGGCTCCTGGATCTCTAGGGAGGTGCTAATCTAGCCTCTGCCTTAGGCTATCCAGCAAAAGCCTCTGTGCAGGGCTTGGGCAGGGCGGGTCCCACGGGATCAACAGGGTGGGGCTAGCAGTTATGGCGTGTCTCGGCAATCGCTGCAAGCCCCTCCGAGAGAAAGCTGCCCTCAAGTTCTGACCAATGCCAGACAGTCCCGCTTCTCCCGTATGAGTCTGGGTCCCCAGAGACTCGCCCGGAACTGGAGCTCAGAGCCTGAGACTCCCTCCCGAATGAAAACGACAACCGCGCCCTCAGCCGCCAGCCCACTCCGTATGCGCCTCTGTACCTTAGTATTTTAGTTCCGCACTGCGCCTTCTCTGAGTCTCGGTATGCTTTTCTCTTTCCTTCTAGTTGTAGAATTTCCACTCAGCCAGCCTTCCTGTGGTTCTGGGTGATGTCCGTTCCATCTTTTAGTTGTATTTTTGAAGTGGTTGTTCGAGGCAGCAAACTCCGGTGTTTACCTATGCCACCATCTTGGTTTCTCTCCTCCTTGATGCTTTAACCATTAATTTAATAATTTGTATATATTTCTAGAAACCAAGGCTCTTCAGCACACAGAGCTCTAGAAGACATTTTTATTCCTTCTACGTGAGTTTACTGATATTAGGTTGTGGAAAGTATTGACTTCTATGCTGAAAAAAAATCAAGAAAAAAAGACTTAAAGGATTAGGAGAAAGAAGGAGAGAGGGATGTAAGTGAAAGGACATGAAAAGAAGACTGGGCTAGGGGGGTAAAGAAAGACTAGTCATCACTCTCAGTTTTACCAGTTCATTGTTTCAAGAGTCAGAAAATGGAGGTGCAGCTTTAAGTTTTGGCATTTGAAGTTGTTAACCATGTTGAATCTCTTCTTCTCACCACATACATACATAGTATTAAGTATTTGGGATGTCAGAATGCAAGTAAGTTTACAAGCAGCTTTCTGCGTGCATTTTGTGTGGATATTGTAGAAGTTGCTTCCTGTATGCACCCTGACGGGATCAAGCCCACAACCTGGGTATGTGCCCTGCCTGGGAATCGAACCTGTGACCTTTCAGCCTGTATGGGACGAGTCTCCAGCCAGCTGAGCCACTGGCTAGGGCTGTTCATTTGTATACCGCTTTATTAGATGAATATACTCTTTATGTGGTTGAAGAACCTTTATCTACTTTCTACTCTGTAGTCATTGTGAGCCAAATATTTTAAATACGTTTTTAGAATCCTGTGTGCCCAAGATTTTATAAGTAATATAAGAATTTTGGTTTGCTGGGGCCGGTTTGGCTCAGTGGATAGAGCGTCGGCCTGTGGACTGAGGGGTCCCAGGTTCGATTCCGGTCAAGGGCATGTACCTGGGTTGCGGACACATCCCCAGTGGGGGATGTGCGGGAGGCAGCTGATCGATGTTTCTCTCTCATCGATGTTTCTGGCTCTCTATCTCTCTCCCTTCCTCTCTATAAAAAATCAATAAAATATATTTAAAAAAGAATTTTGGTTTGAGATCTGAAATAGACAAACATGCTTTTAATTCTAAGAGGAGGAAAAGAAAACTGATTAAAATGTAAATGAGTTACAGCTCCCAATTTTTTGAAGAAAAACAGCATTGTTTTATAAAATTTCTACCTTATGACAATTATGATACCACAGAACAAAACTGGTTCCTTAATATGATATGTAATTTTATATTTTGTGTTCTTGTATTTGTTGTAGTTCTAATTTGGGAATGGCATTATTTCCCTCTCAGCTCAAACATTTTGCATCTATTCTCTCTAAGATGCTAACGTGGGGGCTTCTGTTTTGCACTCAAGTCACATCTCTTAGAATCGTATGAACAGTCCAGTTAATAAAAGTTGTTTCTATTCCAATTTCAGTGACGAAGAACGATACAGATATAGGGAGTATGCAGAAAGAGGCTACGAGCGTCATAGAGCAAGTCGAGAGAAAGAAGAACGACATAGAGAAAGACGACACAGAGAGAAAGAGGAAACCAGACACAAGTCATCTCGAAGGTCTGTTCTTTAATAAAATAGTGAATCACTTTGAAGTTGAGAAATTGATTTGACTTCAGAAAGAGCAAATATTTCCCAGTAACCAGTAGAGCATATGTATTCCTAATTGGAAGATTAAGAATAATCTGTTGAAATAGTTGGTTCCTTTTATGCTTCAACAAAGATTTTTAAATCTGACAAGACTGTATTTAATACACGTAAACCAAAATTATCATGGAATATGAGAGAATTCAGCTTATTACATTATCTTGTTAGGAGGGGGGAATTTGGCATATGAACCAGTCTTTAATAGTAAATATTATTAAAGAAGTTTAATCAAAGAAAATTCAGGGCCTTGTAGTCTCAAAAACAACAATAGCACGCACACATAGATGTTAAATTTCAATGCCTATTATTTACCTAAAACCAACCCTAGAAAGTATTTCTGATTTAGTCCTTCAGTTTCTCATTTATAATTTGGTTTTCAGAATAAAGTATATGGGCCCTAGAAATCTGGGATGATATTGGTGAAGATGAGCCTGTAATCCTATATAATAAAAGGCTAATATGCAAATTGACCGAACACCAAAATGACCAGTCACTATGATGCGCACTGATCACCAGCGGGGCAGATGCTCAACTCAGGAGCTTCCACCTGGTGGTCAGTTTGCTCCCACAGGGGAAGCGCTGCTCAGCCAGAAGCCCTGAGCTGGGCTCACAGCTGGTGAGCGCAGAGGTGGTGGCGGGAACCTCTCCCGCCTTCGTGGCAACATTAAGGATGTCCGACTGACAGCTTAGGCCTGCTCCCCTGAGGGCTCCCGGATTGCAAGAGGGTGTAGGCCAGGCTGAGGAGCCCGTGCCCCCCTCCCCACCACCACCCCCCTCCCCCGCACAAAATTTGTGCACTGGGCCTCTAGTGTAAATATAATCTCAGCATAAAAGTCACCAAAAAAACCCACCCAAAACTGGCTAATGGATTAAATCTTTTAACACCCAGAATTTAGGCAAAGTGGATTGATTTTTGTCATCACTTGTATATTTAAACATTTTTAAGAACACACTTTTTTTTTTTTTTTAGTAATAGTAGACGTCGCCATGAAAGTGAAGAAGGAGACAGTCACAGGAGACACAAGCACAAAAAATCAAAAAGAAGCAAAGAAGGAAAAGAAGCTGGCAGTGAGCCTGCCCCTGAACAGGAGAGCACCGAGGCTGCACCTGCAGAATAGGCCTGGTATAACCTTTTGTGTATATTAGTCCCAGAAATAGATACCACAAATCTTGTTTATTTTTCTGGATAATGTTTAAGAAATTTACCTTTAATCTTCTGTTAGTATAAAAGCTTTTTTCCCAAAATAAAAGCGAATTTTTCATGTTAAGTTAAAAATCTTTGTTTTGTAATATTTAAAAAATAAGATTGCAATGATTTTATATCCAAGAAAGTATGTAAATGAGTCACTCATCAGGGAATTTAAAGAACTGCGTTTAGCTGTGTACATACCAGTATCTGATAAAGGTCAGGGTTCCACCTTGGCTAACATTTCCTTGAGTTAATCAAATATTAGTCTCTCAAGATGTTTCTCTGCAAAAGGCATCAAAGGGCACCCCTGAATCTTGAGAGTAGTCTTTTATCAATACTGCTGTGGCACTGTTGCTTAGCATATTAAAGAACTCATACAGTTTTGATACAACTTTTTGATAGCAGATTTTCAGTGTTCTAAATTGGGTTCATGGTGAAATTGAATGGGGAACTTTTATATGTAAAAGAATGAATCTAATGGTATTTGGGAGGTCTCTGAAGTAACATAATTGTAGTTTCTAGCAGGCACTGGACACTCATTACAATTTTGAATTCCCTCATGGCCATCTATCTGAGGCTGGTTTGGCTTTTCTTGATTTTCCCAAGGCTCATTGGTTGAACAGCATGCAGATTTTTTTAGATTGTGAATAAAAAAATAAGTGACAAGAGCTTTAGTTATTTCCTATTAAATCTAAGAAAAAAACAAGTTTATAATTCTGAGTAAATAGTCATAATAGAAATGAATTTAGTATCACAAACTTAAAGACAACTATAATATTTTAAAAAATATTTATTTCTTATTTGATGAAAGGAACATTTTTCAGTAATGCACTTTTAAAATCATTTGGCTGTAAGTTATTTTTAAAATACTCAAATTTTTAATTTAATTTTATGGTTCGAAGTCATTTGAGGGCATACAAACCATTTCAACTGTTTAAGAGCTTTTTATTAAATAGAAAAATATAAACGTAAACGTAGAGTGATGCAAAATCCTCCACACTGAATAAAAACTATTAGTAATGTTTGTTTTGAGAATTATATTTTCTGAGGTGTAATTGGCTTTCATTAGATCATAATTTTGCTGATACTGAAGTTCACATTTTTATAATGTATCCATTAAATACAAAAATTGACAAGATAAATATAATGTTTCAACTTTGCGATTTTCTGTGACCCATCAATTCTATAAAAAAGTGCCAGGCCAAGAAACAATAGTGAGAGTGATTTTCCCTTTAAGTTCTTTTAGCATCCTTGCCAAGCAAGCATGTATCATTCCTGAAGTACTTCTACCATTGACAGCAAGAAGAATGTCACCACATCTAAAAAAATAAAACAAGGTATATGATTAATATTTTGATCCATAGCTGAAGTTAATTCAAGTTTAATTGGAGGTCCTAATTTTTGCTATATCTGTCAATTTTAATTATATTACTTCTCCCTTCCTCACTTCTGCAAACTCTAAAATCAGCTTACGTTAGAAGGGATTCATAAGCAAGTTGCTATACGGGACCAAGTAACTAATCATTTTGGATTTCTTAGAAATTGCATGCTACATAAATGTGTTTAATTTCTCACCAATATGAAAGGTATAATAAATAAATGCCTTTTTTTCAAGAAGGGCCATGCTTTTTTATGCATAAAAATGCATAAAACAAAATATTTGAATATAAATTTTTTGTTAAAATAGTTGTTATTGTTACCTAATTCTTCCATCATTATATGCTGGTGTTCCTTCAACAATGGATTTGATAAAAAAAGGTTTGTTCCCATTGTATTCTTCATAACCTCCTACAATGCAGAAGCCCAGACTTCCAGCTGTGCTTCTTCGTAATACAACATCTTTGCAGTTGTACAGGTACCTGCAATAGAATGTAATTAATATATAAGCAGTTAAGTTGAACTCAGTTAATAATTACTGTGATTTATCTTCCATTTTCTTTTTTGACTTTATTTTTTAGAATCAATAGCACTATTCATTCTAAAATTGACCTTTGTGCTGTTTGCTTGCTTTTTCTTCCATCGTTAAACACACTTTAAAAAATGACACCATCTATTTATGTTTTGTTTATATGTCTACTGGGAAAGATAATTGATTTAATGCCTTAATTAAAAAGTTGGATATGCATAAATCCTTATTGGTGAACCAAATTCAAGCATACTTGTAGATTAAAAAAAAAAAGTTTTTTTTTAATTGATCTCAGAGAGAGAGGGAGAAACATCAGTCAGTTTCCAGCTGCACGCTTCCTCACTGGGAATTGAACCCACAACCTGGGTATGTACCTGACTGGGAATCCAACCCCACCACCTTCTGGTGTACAGGACAATGCTCCAACGAACTGAGCCACAAGGCAAAAGTCTTTGAATAAATTATTCTCAATTAAAAAAATTCAAACTTACCCTAATTAATGCATTTGTTGAAATTTGGACTTTTGAAAAATACTAGTTTATATGTATGTAGTTCTACATGTTTAATAAAGATTAGAGACATTTTAAGAAGGCACAAAATGAATGGAAATTGTATATTTAAAGATTATAAGAATGATTCATAATGGAGGATAGAAAACTGGCAGTAAATGGAATAGCAAGTAATAAAAGGAATGGGAAAAGGGAAGGACAGACCAGAGGTCTTCTATTAATGAGTAGAATTTTTCAGCTAAATTAGAAATATAGATTGAAGAAATGATTTCTTTTACTATTCTGTGGTAGTTGGATGATTGTTAACATAAGTGCAGGCTAAAGTGCAAACTGTATTACAGTTAGGATAGAAGGTCTATGTCAGGAGCTGAATTTGACTCTAAAAATCCCTGAGTCCAGAAACTGGTTTGAAAGAAAATAAACATTTTCATGTTGACCAAAAAGAAAAAAAACAAGATATTGGTTTGTTTATAAGCTGTACCTTAAAATATTAACTGCTTTTTGAAAAATCAATAAAAAGTCTCGTGAAATGTTTTAAGTGATGACATTGGTCAGTAACATTTGTTAAACTCTAATTTTCATTTTGAATATGAGCTTTTTTCCTATTTTGAACTCATTTCAAGGCTTAATTGAAGAGTTTGCAAAGTATAAAGAATAGCAAGGAGTTTGGTAATTTTTCTAAATAAGAAAATTATGGTTACCTCAAGTAACAGACTGTTAAAAGGAGTTGATAAATATGGTGAAGTCGGTTGCTACTATTTTTTGTTCTTTCACTAGCTGTTCTTCAAGGACTCCACTTTTCAGTGGACCTCAATATTTCACTGAACCCCTATATTACTGAAGTGTGGTTCTCAAATTATGTGCCTTTCAGGGTCTAGAGGTAAAACATATTTTTGTCATAATAGTATGATCTTTGCCTTTTCACTCATTTTCTTATGAGTATACAGTGGCATTTTTTCCAGAGAACACATGACAGGTGATCTGGCAGCAGATAGAATGCAGAATTAGATATGAGTCCACTTATCTTCTATTAAGCCAAATGTTAGAGGTTTGCAAAAAAATACACAATGCCAATCTTCTCAATAACTTTTTAAAATATATGTTAACATAATGGGGTGTATTATTTTAAATAAGTAAATTATTTATATTCATAAGGTAAATATCATTAGATATAACTTATATAAACAAAAGTTCTTTGGGATCATCAATACTTTATAAATCTGTATGGGGTCTTAAGACAAAAACTTTGGGAATTACTGCTCTAGATGTGTTTATCAAACTTGGAAGTCCCACTGGTATCTCAGACTCAAAATGTTGGAAACAATATTTCCTCATTCTTCCTTACTGTGATAAAATAACTGCATTGATGTCCCCAAGTGGCTACCCTACCCTCGTGTGCCCAGTTATATAACTGTGGTGTCTTCCTATTCTGATTCTGGACTCAGCCATAAGAGCAACAGTGGGATTTTTGCCACCACCAGCCAAATCTTAGATACATAAGTATGGCCAGCCAAGATCAATCAAGCCTAGCCTGAATCAGCTGAGCCCCCACAGACTTGTGAATTAAATATTAAATAAATATGGTTACTTGTTAACTGAGGTTTTGCAGCATGATTGTGAAAATACATAATTGATATGCCTACTCCTATTTTAGTTGTAGCCCTTCTGCTTTTAAAAAGTTACTAAAGAAGCAATTAGGAAACTTAAAAGTATAAATGCAAATTCCATCTTAAAACTCAGTCACTATATATGAAAGAGAACTTCCAAAGGCAGTGAGAGTCAAAGAAGGATGTTAGAAGAGGGAGTGCCCATAGCTGGAGAGTGCAGTCCGAGCTGGTAGAGCCCTAGTGAGTGAGGGGGGGGGCATAGTGAGTGGTCTACTGATAGGCAAAACATGCATCCACTGGGAACACCGAAGTAGGCAGGCTGACTGTTAGCAGGCATTCCCTGGGCCCAGTGTGGCAGAGAAGAAAGGCATAAGTGAGGTAATAACCCAGACAGACAACCCATGTGGACAGGAAGTAGCCTGCCAGTGTGGTAGGGTAAAGAATCAGTGGAGACACACTACAAAAGTGGGAAGGTAACAGTAATAACAGTAACAGACAAAACCCACTCACCAGAAAAATGCTGTAGAAAAATGAAGTTTTAACAGCCATATTAATGTGAATTTAAACTATTGAAATAATCCTATCTAATAAAAGAGAAACATGGTAATTAGCATACGACCGCTACCCTTCCCATTGGCTAATAAGGGCGATATGCAAATTAACTGCCAGCCAGGATGGCGGCCGGCAGCCAGGCAGCTGACGAGAACAGGGAGGCTTGCTTGCTTCAGTGACGGAGGAAGCCAAGCTTCCCCACCTGCCTTGCCAGCCTCTCAGCTGCACTCTAAGCAACATTGTAACAAATATAGAAGCTAAACAAAACCCCAGGCTTCAGCCAGCAGGATCACAACATTGTTTCAAATACAGAGGGTAAACAAAGGCCAGAAACCTGCTTTCAGCAGTGGAGGTCTCATAGCTGGAGCCGAGCCTCAGAGCTAAAGCTGGCCCAGAATAATAAAAAAAGGAAAAAAGGACAGGTTGGGAGCTTCAGTCACCCCCCAGCCTGAAAACAGCCCTCAACCCCTCACCCAGGCTGGCCAGGCACCCCAGTGGGGACCCCCACCCTAAAGGGGGTGTGACCAGCTGCAAACAACCATCATCCCTTCATCCAGGCTGGCCAGGCACCCAAGTGGGACCCCCACCCTGAAGGGGGTGTGACCAGATGCAAACAACCATCATCCCCTCACCCAGGCTGGCCAGGCACCCAAGCAGGATCCCCACCCTGATCCAGGACACCCTGAAGGGCAAACCAGCCGGCCCCCACCCATGCACCAGGCTTCTATCCTGTATAGTAAAAGGGTAATATGCCTCCCAGCACCGGGATCAGCGTGACAGGGGGCAGCGACCAAACCCCCTGATTGCCCTGTGGCTCTGTGTGTGACAGGGTGCGGCGCCCCAGCCCCCTGATCGGCCCTGCTCTGTGTGTGGCGGGGGGAGCTCCCCAACCCCCTGATTGCCCTGCGGCTCTATGTGTGACGGGGTGGGGCCACAACCTCCCTATCCGCCCTGCTCTGTTCATGAGGGGCCGGGAGGGAGAGCTCCCCAACCCCCTGATCGCCCTGCAGCTCTGAGTGTGACAGTGGCGGCACCCCAACCCCCTGATCCGCCCTGCTGTGTGTGTGACAGGGGGCGGTGCCCCAACTCCCCTATCGGCCCTGCTCTGTGAGTGACAAGGGGGAGCTCCTCAACCCCCTGATCGGCCCTGCTCTGTGTGTGACAGGGTGGTGCCGCAACCCCCCAATCGGCCCTACCCTGAGCGTGACTAGGGGTGGCATTGCAACCTCCCGATCCACCCTGCTCTGTGCATGACAGGGGGCGGCGCCCCAACTCCCCAATCGGCCCTGCCCTGAGTCCGACCAGGGGCTGCACCTAGGGATTGGGCCTGCCCTCTGCCACCCAGGAGCAGGCCTAAGACAGCAGGTCGTTATCTCCCGAGGGGTCCCAGACTGCAAGAGGGCACAGGCTGGGCTGAGGGACCCCTTCCCCCCCCCCCCCCCCCCCGAGTGCACAATTTTTTGTGCACCGGGCCTCTAGTTATAAATAAGAGATCAAGGCAGATATGAGAGATTAAACTGACAGAAGAAGTGAAACAATATAAAAACAAAGATATACTATTGAAAAACACAAGGGATATGAAGGACAGATTAAAATAAGCAAAGAAAACAATGGAAATAAACAGTTGAAAGGAATTCAAGAGAAAATGAAACACGAGACTTCAAATACATATCTGGATTCCCTGAGAAGAAGAATCCAAATAACAGAAGTTATTTCGAACATTAGGTGAAAAGACCAAGCCATACACAGGTGGGAAGAAATGAGATCACAATTCTCTACCTGACAGTTCCATGCTACTTAACAGTGATGCGGTGCCTCCGAAGTCAGAGTGTGATCGATAATACTAGTATATCCAGGCAAACTGCCATCTGGTTGTACAAACGCACCTTAATGGAACCAGTTCCTATAGTAGGTGCTGTCACTGTACAGTCTGAATTTTTATTGTAGTATTTTTTATATCTACTGATATGATACCTAGGGTATATTAGATTTTAAAAAAAAACAGTACATAATAGTGTGTATGATAATACTATGTGTGTGTACAGATATATCTGCTTTTGCAAATAACCATGCCCATTCATTTACATTTTGTCCATGGCTACTTTCATGCTAATACAGGACTGAATAGTTGCAGCAGAGACAGTATAACCCACAAAGCCTAAACTCTGACCCTTTTCAGAAAAAGTTTGCCATCCCCTGACACACATACTCCCTGGACAAATACACAAGGAATTGGTGACAGAGATTATGATGTGAGAGGACTGGGATGGGAGACTCGACCTTTCACACTATACTCATTGGTGCCCTCTGAATTTTGTACTGTGCTTATTAAATTACTACTAGGTGAGAAGGAGATGGAGGAAGATAAGCATTGCCAGGGTGGCTGAAAACCAGTGGTGTCTACTGGCACTATTTTCACAATGCCCTTCTCTTAAAGGAAATGAACAAAATCCCAGGTGCCCGCCCACGGCCAAGTAAAAGGGGAGAAGAAAGCCATTCACTTGGTCGTATTTGGAGTAAAAAGTTTCTCACATTTGTCCCATCTTACATGAACCTTGATTACTTAACAGAATAGCTTTAAGCACAAAAAGTGATCTATAAAAAAAAAGTGATCTATATTAGAATGCAGTTTCAAAAAGATTTTTTTTTAAACAATAGAAGTAATAACCTCTTTGACCTAGGCTCAGTTCTAAATGTTTAAAGTTTTTAAACTGCCTCAATGCCCAGTTTTCAGCTGTTTAAAAATGTACTCATTTAAATTTATCAATTACTGAAGGCTCAGAAATGAATCTAGGACAGTTTGTATTTGAGTCAGGGATGTTTTATAAACCTCATTTTAAAATTAAAAAAAAAAAGACTTATCTCCACCCTCAAGAAAAATGTACTAAAACCAAACATCCTGCTCTCATTCATTTAATTCTAGCCAGCATATCACCTTCAGTGACTCCAATATTTAACATTTAAATCATGCATTTGGAATTCGTAAGAATCTTCTGAAGGCCCCGAGTTAATGTTTGTGATGCAGATGAACAAAACCCAATTTATCTGCCCTCTGAGTATTTAATTTGTTTACAGTCACTTAGCAAGGCTACCCCCAAATCCTTTCCTGAAGTGTCTATGAGACAAACAGCTATACTGTAAGATTCTAGTTTATTAAAGTGACAAGCCAGCTGCTTCCTGAAGTTATGTGCAAGAACTCATAAGAGTAGGTACTAGGGAGAGAAGATGATAGATGCGTTCTCAACACACGCATAAGCATAGGTGAAGGCCAAGTGTTCTGTGTTGCTTTAGGTTTAGCCAGGGGGCACCTGAGCTAGAGGTAAAACCATGGATGGGAGTCACCCTCCATGCAAGATCCTAGTGCTGTACCGCTAGCAATTCGGGAAAGGTGAACCTGCCCCTACTTGAGTGAACACCTTGGATTTCAGCATCCTCTCCCTATCAGCTGAGCTCCGTGTTGCAAAAAAACGGAAACGACTCTTCATGGCAGACCTGTGAGCGCCTCATAATGCATGCCTAATAATGTTTCCACATCCAGGCTTTTGTCCCTGCCCTATGGTTTCTGCCTGCATTTCCAGTTACAATTATTTCAAATAGCCCCATAACCAAGCCAGGGATTCATTAAGATGCTAGTGCCGTGAGCTCAAGAAAGTGAAAGAATGGTATATATATATATAATTTTACCATTCTTATATATATAGTTGTTCCCTCCCATACCTCCCCAAGGATGTCACATTGGGACTCACCGTGGTAATTCCAGCCACATGACCCAGGAGGGGGACCAGTCACCGGGTGGGGCCATGTTGTGGTTGGAGTCCAGAGCTGCTGGGCTGTTGCCTTCTTCCTGGGACTCACATTGTTTGACTTCCAAAGCTTTAAGAACCATTGAGGAGGATGTGCTTTTCAATAATGCCACGGCCTTGTTCCGGCTGACCTCTGTTAGTTCAACCCCATTCACATTCAACAAAATGTCACCTAGTGATCAGAGAAGCAGAAGCCATCCTTAGTGCAATAGGACCTTCTGCTTATAGTACAAAGGGGCAGGGACTGACTGACGGATGCAGTGAATAATGAGGGTGGGGTGCATGTCATCCTCTTGCATTGACATGAGGCTGGATTCTCATATAGCAAATGGTGAATTGTGTGCATTCTCCAAGGTGTTGGTAAGTCGTGTTTAGAGGTTTCTAAAGCATACCCATTGGTGTTTGGCTCTTGTCATTAAAAAAACAAAAAAAGGGAGGGAGGAGGAATAGCCTCATTTAATCAAAGAAAATCTTTATTTTCACTCCTTTTTTTGTTTTATGTTTTTAGCACAAAGGGAGAGCACTTGGCAAAAGCTTTCAGCACCTGCACAGAGCCTAGCGTATGATAGGTACCTAATTACACATGATTTGAATGAATAAATAAGGAACTACTCCTGAGAGTATCTGGCATGGAGTCAACAGCAGTTAAGAAAAATGGGCCCTGGAACTGTGTTCTCAAAGAGGTGGAAAGAAGAGTTAACATTTCTATTGATTGTACAGGTGCTAAGAACCAGCATTGGATAAGCACCTACTATGTGCTGGACCATTTCCATACATATCCTATAATCTGCTCATGTTCTCTCTCAAGTCACTTCCTGGTTGACCTCATTATTCTGCACCCAGGTGCTTGGATGAAAAAGAAAAGCAAGAGAAACTAAAATACATATTTCCCCTGCCTCCATTTTCTGTTCTTTTATCTCCTGATTTTCTGCCTCCTTTGAATAGCTTTTTTATATAGAATAACCACAGCAAGAGTAAAAAATAGGGGAAAGATGGGAAAGGCCCTGAGTCCTTCCTGACCCCAAAGGAACATCGTTAGGTTGGCTGACTGAATCCCTTAACATGCCATCCCCCCTGGCTCCACAGACTGAGTAACTGTACTTCAGAAACTTTACATTTTATCTCTTGACTCTGAATCCTTAAATAACATAACTGCCCAACCATCTGAGTTACCCCTTCATGTGCATTGATGATATTATTAAGGATACACATTTGACATTTTCATTTCAGAAGTCCAGGACACACAAGATTAAAGTAACAAAACACTTTTCACCAGTGGAAAAGTACCTATGGCATGGTACTTTCACTTAATATTCAGTCAAAGTCTATCCAATTATTTCCCCTATACAGCTCATAAAATTGAATAATTCATGAATAGTTTCATCACTGGATAAATCCAGCAAAGAATCACTTAGAATAAATGGAACAAAATTGTGCCATTTAACCAAGGCAACTTGCTCGTAACTAGCATTTTCCTATTAATTCTTGGCATAGTTTTCAGTACTTGCTTTACTAGCAAGCAAGGTGGCGCCCACATCAATCCACTTGAACTAAGGAGGGTTGAAACCCAGTCTGGCAACTACACTCAAACTACTCATGGTCAATGGGTAACAGATGTCCCGGCCAGATCACCCTCACATTTGCTTGTTAAATCTGGAAACAGTTACCTCACCTAGCAAGCTGCTAATTCCTCTTAACACTGCTGCCCCAGAACCTTAAATTTCTTTTCTTTTTACCTGTTTTTATTCTTCCATCTCTGCTTATGACTCCTCCGGGTTCAACACTGATGACGTAGATAGGCAAATCCCACTCACTGTGAGATGCTCCCCCTGAAACAGTCATCCCGAGGGATTCGCTGGGGTCTTTTCGGACACTAACCACCTTCTCAAGACAAGTGACTGCAAGAGGGAGGTGCTAAAGGCACAGACAGAAAAACAAACATGGGTTTGCATTTCCTACATACAAAATGGCACAAATATATGATAGTGGTATTTGGTCTCACAGAGAAAGACACACATAGAGAGAACCCTTGCTTTGCCATTCCCCCCACCCTCTAGGGCAGAGTTATATTATCCCAAATTCTATAGGCTGACTCAGAGGAAGTTCACATTTCAGTGAAAATGGAAAGAACTGTACCCCAGATTTTTCAAGTGATTCATTCCTGATAGCTGAGTCAACATTTTGGAAATAACACCCATTTCATTCATGAATATCAGGATTTTTTCCTCAGTTACAAAAGTAACCAAATTTTAAATAATAGTGCCAGTTAACTTTATGCAGGTATCAATTATAGAAATTCTCAATATAATGGATTTCATATATATGACTCTTAAAAATTCACCAATATCTAGGTTTCTCCCAATTAGCATCTTTACGCTTTAGTATTTCTAAATAATATGCAGTCAGTTGTACTTTTTCATTTTGTTACATAAAATATATAGAATATAAAGATATAGTATACGCAATTGTATAGTATACACTGTGGGTCAACTTTTGAAAAGCAAATTTGATTTAATAGCACTAGATGAAAACCATGCAAAGCTATATGCAGCATTATCTTGAAGCAATAATGTAGAGAAGGTTAAGAGCACTGCTTATCAATGAATACATATCAATGTATACTTTTCCAAAAATGTATTCTCCCTGCTGGTGCAGTGATCTAGGCAGCGGTCGCCAACCGGTGGTCCGCGGATCACTGGTGGTCCGCGAGGTCCGAAAGGTTGGTGACTGCTGAATTCTAGGGGACTAAGACTGTGGGCATGTGCACTGCAAATAAAACACTTGGTCAAACCTCAAAGAAGTATCTGGCTCAAAGCATAGCTATAGTTGTACCTACGGAAGGAACATTTAAAAGCACATCTGACTAAAAAAAAATCAAGGTACAAATTAAGTGTAAGTGTACTAGCTCTTTTTAAAAAAAGAAGAAAAATGATTTGTATTACTATTTGCATTTCTATAAAGAAACTGGGAGAAAAATTGGTTTCCTGGGGGTAGGTGGAACAGGGACTTCTTAACATATCCTTTCCATTTGAACCCCCCCCCCCCCCCCACTCTCTCTCTCTCTCTCTCTCTCTCTCCATATATATATATACACACACACACACACACACACACACATACTAGAGGCCTGAATTTTGTGCACTTGGGGGGAGGAATCCTCAGCCCAGCCTGTGCCCTCTCCCTGTCCGGGAGCCCTTGGGGGATGTCCGACTGCCACACAGGCGGGAGAGGCTCCTGCCACCACCGCTGTGCTCATCAGTTGTGAACCCAGCTCAGGGCTTCTGGCTGAGCGACGCTCCCCCTGTGGGAGCACACTGACCACCAGGGGGAAGCTCCTGCTTTGAGCATCCGCCCCCTAGTGGTCAGGGCACATCATAACGACCAATCCACCGTTTGGTCAATTTGCATATTAGCCTTTTATTATATAGGATATATATTATCTATTCAACAAATCAAATGAATTCTAATTAAACAAATGTCTACAAACTGGATGGATGACATCATATAGAACTATTTTACCTGCAAGCACAGGGTCAATTCTAAATGCCTCATTAGGAAGCAAGATAAGCCTAGGCTTTGTGTGCATTTATTATCTATGATTTCCTGCGGTTTTAAGTTAGCCATGTCTCTCTTAATGGCTTCATTGTACGCACTAATGGCCTGTTACTGTACCCCTAGCATTGAATATAGCATTTAGCACACTGAAGATAGTTTTAAATACATGTTTGCCGAATAAATGGATGAATACATTGCAAATTGCCACAAATTGTTTTTGGTAGTAATAGAATAATAAGTCAGAAATTATGAATAATTATGGCAAGGTATATATTATAATTAGTACTTGTAAGGTCTGGATTGTGTTTATATAAACCCCAGAACCTTGAAGATAATGGTTATCAGATGAGGGTTATAAAACTGAAATAAGACTTTCTTCAGAGTAAAGTTTCAAAATAAGACTAGTAATAGTCCTAGCACTCCGGCTAAGGCCAAGGAGTAGACTTAGAGGGGCTCTCAAGATCCATTCTCAGCACATGACCTTTCCCTTCTGAAAAGCAATTAGATGCAGGATGTCTCTTCCTTTAATCACGAGCATCTCTCAGAAGAGCCCCACTTGGAGATGCAGGCAGTTCTGAAATGCCCCCAATGTGGCAAGAATTCTAAACCCAGAGACTCCCACTGGCTGCCCTGCTGCTTCAGCTCATTCCTGGGGATATTTGTAAAGCATTTACTCCTGATGCTCTCAAAGAAGGGCTTCATTTCATTATTTCCACATGCGGGACAGGGACATCGTAAGGGTAGTTGATCAATCTCCTGAGGTGCTGTCTAAAACACAGTCTGGAATATTCTGAAAAACAAGGATAACTCACACACATAACTCACACACTATCTCATTCTTGAACAGCTGCCTAATACTTTGTGTGGATGTGTTCTATTCCCCACTGATGACAGTTTGTTTGCAGTCTTCTGCAGAATTAAACAGGGACACTGCAAACATCTTAGACTCACATATCTTGTGCACTCATGTAACTATTTCTTAAGGCTAATGTCCTAGTATTACAATGGAGAAATCAAAGAGCCTGGCATTTTACATTTCAATAGACGTTGATAAATTACCTTTGCAATGGTTTCTGTCATTTATTATCTCGCCAAGACATTGTGAAAATACTGATTTTTCACAATTCTGCCGATACTGTTTTATCCATATTTACCAATATTTTCCCAGGTGAAAACAAAGATTCCAATAACTTAATTACCTTTCTTTGTAGTAAGTTTTAACATCTCTTATTGATATTTGGGTTTCTAACAGTAATTAGCTTAGGAGATTTGTGATACTGTGATCACTCAAGCTCCTTCTAGCTTCATCTATGAAATGGGTAAGAATGCCCATGTAACAGCAAACCTGTGGCTAAAAGTAATATAACCAAGTGGAAAATAGGACTTTTTTTTTTTTTTTTTAAAAGGTGTTATAAAATTCATTTGAAAGTAGCAAAATTCCATATCTTAAGAAATATATCCCAGAAGTTACATTGGCTTTTCTCCTGCCACTCCAGTTAATAGGAATTCGTGAGGCTTTAATATTTGTTGTGAATAAATATCGCTGAAATAATGTATAGATTGGCCAGCTACACCTTTGGGAAAAGGAAGGAAATATATATTTGTTTTCTACTTAGGCAGGTCCAGGCAGGCAAACTAAGGCTTAACATTTTAAAAAACCAGGTAAGTGAAACGGGTGTCAGGAGGAAAATTGGGACCTGCAATCCAGGCTGTCTGATTCTAAATCCATGCTCCTCACTATCCCGTTTTGCTTTTAGAGGTAATACTGAAACGCGTGATCTAAATTAACTTACCAATGTTCAGGCATCTGTCAGAAAAACACATGAAAGAACTAATCACCCAATTTTTCCAGAGGGAGTTTAACTAGTTCATTGACTACAGAACTCAACCCAAATCAAATTGTGTCAAATAAATCACATGACACATGTTTTGGTTGCGGAAAGCTACGTCCTCCCCGCTGCAGAGGTGTGTTCATTGATGTTTTTACATGCAAATTCCTGGAGATCAGAACCTCCTTTCACTTCTTCGGTGTGGTGCTTCCCAAACAGCCTTTCTGCAAACAGACATGACTGGACTACCCCAGATAAGAAATGTGTCCCTGTGTCCTGTGTCTCCCACATACTTGCTTTACCCACAGGAGAGACACACCTGTGTTAGGAATGGAAAAGCCCCAGTGCTCCCTGACCCCTCCGTACATGGACTTGCCTAACTTTGGTTGGAGAGAAGAGAGTTAAATACAACAGGGATCTTTTCCCCCCGTTTTCTTCCCCACACCCCTTCCCTACTTTGGAGACTTGAAGGTGCTCCCTAATGTTTAACACATGATTCATGATAAAATAGTTTAAGCTGATTAAAACATGTCAGGGCCACCAGTGTACTCTCAACTATAAAATTACATAATAGAATATTTGCTTTGGGTTTTTAAAAAGCATTTTAGACATATTAAAAAACGAATAAAGATGAACATAACCTACCCAGATACCTGGCAACCAGTGTCAGACATGCATGTCCCATGTACAGCTAAGGTGCCTCTCTGACTTCTCTGGATCACATTCCCTTTCCTCTCTCAGAGGCAGCCACACTTCTAATCGTGATGCCTATTGTTCTTTAACTTTTGAATTCACTGAAAACTTTTCTGTCTCACAAATCTTGGTTTGTCTTCTTTGGTATTTCTTTGAGTAATTTTACTTCCTGCTTTCAAAAAGCCATGTTGTTTCCTAAACAAAATACATCTATGTCTTCATTTCATTTTTAAATATGCCACTTTTAATGTGTGTAGGAGCATTTCAGAAGGCAGAGAGAACTATAAATTAAAATGAAAATAATTACAATCTCTACTGGGCCAGTTTGTTATGCATGTTTTCCAGGAATTGAACATATGAGAGAGGGAGGGTTTCAGCAAAAATTTGATCAGACCCTCCTGGCTCTTTCCATGATTCATTATGGTTAGGTAGAAGGGGTTATAAAACCACAGGGCTGGTGGAAGCTTCATTCTTAGGGGTTTAGTGAGCTAGAATATAATATGGTCTTGCTAACTCAATTATAATTAGCTAATTAGGTTAAAACTTTAATTAAGAGAATAAACTAGTTTTCCATTAATAGCATTAAATTTATTTAAACACACTAATGGTATTTACTAGTGAAAAGACACCAGGGAGTGCTTATCCATAAAATGTTTTAGCAAGGAGGTACTTGGTCTGTTGAGATTGCTTATTGTAAATAAACCTGGAATTTATGGATTTATGGGGCATAGCTGGCTGGTAGGCTGGAGAAAGGGGAGAGGGAGTATCCTTGTAGGCTGTGTAATTAACAGCATACAAAGCAGAGATGTTGCAAAATCAAAATTTTGAGTATAGTTTCTACATACATTGCTCAAAAATTCAAACTTGTGAATTATTCCAAACGGAAATCTAGCCTGATGTGGTATGTAGGCATTCCCTAATCTGATGCAGGAAGAACGGGCTCTCTATCAGATTTTTTAGTTACAAGTAATTTAATGAAACCAGATCCCAGAAGAAATGGCGGCCAGAAACTCATCACCATCACAATAGGATGCCAAATGGAGGCTATTGGACTCAACTTGGTCTAAGCAAGGTGTGCGTTGCTTAGACACCCAACCAAATGGAGAAGTTATGGCGCTGCCTCTAACATTGGCCATAGACAGAAGGAGAAAGTGGGCTGAGCCACCTCATTTAAAGAGGAGCTGCACATGGCAGATACATGCTGCTTCACCCCCCGCTTTTAAAAATGTTTCGGGATTTGAATTCCATAAGATAGGGCATGTGCTCTCTGGTTTGCCCCATCCCCACCACTTGCTAGTGTTACACGAACTTCAAGTGTTTATATTATTTCTCTGGGTCCTTCTGCAAAAACATACACCCTAAAATAGCAGGGGAGTTGCTCCGTTTCAGGCAGACTGGGAACTTCATCCAGAAGCCAAGCAAACCTCTTGCTTCATTTCAAAGTGAATGAAAAACAGTCCTGAAACAAAATGAGTTGAAATGACATGACATCTATTTGGCTTAGACCAGAAATTATGAGGTCTGCAAGATCAGGTTTCAAAACCCTCCTGCATCTTCCTCTCTTCTGCTTGGATGGGAGACACCTGCTATCCCACCAGGCCTTGAAGATGGGACTCTGGGCTTTTATTGTTACAAGATAAGTCACACAGTGTTTAAGTGATGAAATCCAGAGATGACACTTAGAAATGTTAATGTGTGCAGCCTTCCCGAGAAATAACTCACTGCAGAAGCGGTGGACATACCCTACTGGGTCTCACCTTGGGGTTGTGGCTCCTGGCCCCTGGCCCCGAGGACCGGCTGCCGTTGCTGCTCCAGCCGGCTTCCTGAAAGATGTCAGGACTCTGCTGACGGGTCTGGCGGGACACGACGAGGTGGATGCGCCTTTCGCTGGCCTGGGTGATAAGACACAGGCGTTAGCACTCAGAGCTTCCTTCCCAAGCATCCAGGCACCAGCGTTACCAAAATGTGTGAGTTTTACCTTTTCTATGGAAAAAAGTGGTTTCTAGTATTTTTCATGGCAGTGCCCACTTGGTAATTTGACAAGAACACAAGAGTCATTTCCTTTACCCCTTATCCAATGAATGGCTCTACGGTTCACAGCCTGAGATGTTGTTTGAGAAACTTTCCAATAGAATAGGGTGTACAGTGTAAAGTAGCAGCCCTGTCAAACTCCAGGCTGAAGGTCTAAAACCAAGGGTCAGCAGTGAAGAAAAAGCAGTAGAGTTATTGGCAGGAATGTTATCACCGCAGGAAGACAAATTCTGTGTCTGACGGTTTCAAACATCTGGGTACTGGAAACGATGAGCACTTCAGAACTACAGGGGTGACCCAGTGGCCCTAACACAGCCCGATCAAAGCCCTTTGCCTCAACCCTTTGCTTTCCATCTGACTACATTAATTCTGACGACTCTCTGCAGTCCTCTCTGCCATGTGTGCTGATACTTGGACAGAGTGTTCCAAATAGCAAATACATTCCTTGTTGGTTAAGGTCCATTCCACACCATAAATGCACAGGCTGGCTTTCTGCCACCGAGGAGTTTCATGTGTGCCTGAGAGCATGAGAACTGGTTGCTGAGGCTCCAGGTCTGCGGGGCAGTGAGATGAGACCTTGGGCCTGTGAAACATACATGAACAGGGCCTCCCGTGAAACATACATGAACAGGGCCTCCCGACGGCCTGGTGAAGTAGCCCCATGAGCTTACCCATCACTATAGTAAAAGCTAACAGTGCCTGAGGCAGGGCTAGATTTGATTAGAAAAGTCCCCTTCAAAATACTAGATTTGGGGACAAGGGGGGTAGAGAAGAGAGGAGTACGTTCTAGGGGTTCCCAACTTCGTCCCACCCCCTGACCATTCACAACCACAGCAGACCTGACATTGGCCTGCTTGCCTTCTTCCATCTCAGGCATGGCCATCAGACCACAAGAGAGGCCACGAAAGGAGCCACAAAAGTCTTGCTTCATTTCTGAATTTGAATTCCATTCAGATAGGAATTCAAATGAGCTCAGAAAGTGGGAACCGAGCTATTTGCTTCCTGACTCTCTTCTGCATCGTCCTTCCCACAGAACATAACTCACTCCCACTCTCAGGAACTAGGACTTAGTTTGTGAAACCTTAAGCAGTAAGAACCCACCAATGACATCAGATCCCCACTGTGGTCCAGCACGGATCAGCCAAACCTTCCCAACTCTGCATCCTTATATTAATAAACATCTCTCCTCAGGGCTTTCTGAAAAACTAGGGGTCAATTGGGTGGCAGTACATTAGATGAACTTTTAAGAACAACTGCTGAAACACCATAAGGGTGTCTATTGTAAACATCATGGTAGACGGTGGGCCAGTCAAATAGATTCATTTCACATAAATTTAGCAAATTCCATCAAAAAGGACTCAGAAGGAAAGTTCAAGTCCTTCGCTCACTTTCACTTCTGCGGGTCTACCCGGTACTTGCCCTTTCTCTGTTCCTTCACCTATTTCCACTCCCCGGGTGTTTTTCATCACATCTGAAGCCTGTGTCGGAACAGAACAAAAATAACCAGCCCAGGAAACAACAATGAGCAAGCTGACCTGAAGAACTAAATTCAATTCTTGGAAGAGTATTTTGTAATCACTGTCTCTTTCTTAATACTGTGAGCCTCACTTATCTCAATGAGGTTATCTTTGTGAGCTTTCTGAAGCAAAAATTATTAAGAGATAAGAAGTGGCAAACATTCAAATCAAAACGTCAATGGCTGAACCCAAATTTGCTTATCTTCAGGGAAACTCCGATGTTTCAAAGGCTCTGGGCAGCAGGTTTGTCTCTAGGCCAGGGGTGGGCAAACTTTTTGACTTGAGGGCCACAATGGGTTCTTAAACTGGACCGGAGGGCCGGAACAAAAGCATGGATGGAGTGTTTGTGTGAACTAATATAAATTCAAAGTAAACATCATTACATAAAAGGGTACGGTCTTTTTTTTTTTTTTAGTTTTATTCATTTCAAACGGGCCGGATCCGGCCCGCGGGCCGTAGTTTGGCCACGGCTGCTCTAGGCCATCACACTGTGCTGCGCTCACTCTGGACCAGGAATGTGACCTGACCACCTCATCAAAGCTGAGAAAATCCAAGACTTACACATCGAATCAGCTTGCCAGGCAAAATCCAAAATGGCAAGGAGCAGCCTTCAAGAGCTATTTAATTCACATTGCGAGCACGAATTTCTCACTGGATTTTCAAATGCTGACTTTTATTAACTTGTTGGCAGGAAGAACACTCCAATAAGTAACCCTGGTATCGATTTACGTGGAAATAAATTCCCTGCAAGGCTGGATCTGTGGCTCTCACCAGCCACCTTATAAATTGCTCTCAGCAAGGCTCTATCTGATGCACGTTCTTTCCTAGCTTTTGAAGTCGAAGGTGGAAAATGGGCTCATGTGTTTGTCCTGGCTCCTATTCCCAGGAACAGCTGGATTCAGTGTCGAGAAACAGGCCTTAGCATCTGTCTTTCTTTCCACAGAGATGAATCTGGTGTGAATGTGGAGTGAGGGTGAGAAGGTGGGCGAGGGGGAGACACAGGGACTGAATGAAGGAGAGAATGGCAGCAACTTGTTCATTTCATACAGACACAAACATGTGCCCGGGAGAGGGGTGCAGCAGACCGCCATTTAAGTAAACGGAGGAAGAACATGCTACAGGTTGGAGGTGGGGCAGCTTCTCTCTCACATCACTTGGGTGTTGCATTTGGATGAAAGGACTGTTTAACAACGGGCTGGCTCAAGTAGTAGGCAAGGCGAGAGCTAGGTCCTCTCACTTGAAGTTTCCTCTCCTCTCTCCCTAAGCATTCTCAGTGTTGCTCTAGACCAGTGATGGCGAACCTTTTGAGCTCCGTGTCAGCATTTTGAAAAACCCTAACTTAACTCTGGTGCCGTGTCACACAGAGAAATTTTTTGATGTTTGCAACCATAGTAAAACAAAGGTTTATATTTTTGATATTTATTTTATATATTTAAATGCCATTTAACAAAGAAAAATCAACCCCAAAAATGAGTTCACGTGTCACCTCTGACACGCGTGTCATAGGTTCGCCATCCCTGCTCTAGATAAACTCTGGGCACAGTGGTCACAAGTTGCACAGCCCAATTGCTGCGCCATATACTCCTTCCTCTTCCAAGAAAGATGCACGCATTAAACTCCCTCTCTCCTTTCGGGTTAGAGGAAAGGGATTCTGATGACGTCCACATTCTCCACTGTGCACCTCAGCTTGTTGGCAGCCATCTGTCCCCACAGCTGGCATACGCCAGCTCTGGGCCAGGCACGTCACTAAGAGCCTTGGGGACATGCTCCTGCCCTCAGGGCCCTTGTTCTGCTTCAGGGACAGTCAGAAGCAGGTGCCATGAAAGAGATGTGGGTAACACACAGAGTTTCAGAGGCAGAGCCAATTACGTCTATGGGAAAAGATAGGAAAATCCTAACATTTAGAGAAAGCCAGAGGGTTAAAACTGAGTATCATTTCTCATGGAAAAGCTTGCTTTTGGTTGGTAGGTTTAATGGCTGCTTTTCTCTAAGCATTTGAAATTTGACTAAAAACTGCCAATAATATTTATATGATGGGAGTAAGCAGAGGCCATAGGAGGGAACCATAGTCCAGCAGCCTCATGTATAGGTAGCCATGTAAAAATAATAAAATTTCATCTCTAGTAGTTAGAAGGAGTCTGGGAGTTCCATCATGTTCAGCCTGGAAATGGCTCCTTCCCCTATAAAATTTACTATGACTGAAAAACTGCTCGTATTGTCAGGATGCAACATGGACCAGAAACTTCGCAGAACAGAACGATGAAAATCAAAGATGCTACAGCACAAGGAGCCAGGAGGGGCATTTTGCAGAGCCAGTTATTGGAGGAGAGGGGTCTTTCTACCGTCCTGGCATTACATGGGTCCATGAGGTTCCTGAGAGAGAGAAAGTCAGCCACAAATAAAGGCAGAGCACTTGTACTCAAGGTGTGCATTTCTCACCCACCAAAAGGCTTCACCTATTCATCTGGAAAGGAGGATTGGAGTTAAACCAATTAATTTGCTTAATTAAAATGTTTGGTAAACTATGCAATTTATGTGGGTTCATTGATTGTGTTTATTGCATTAGCTTTATGAAGTTTCAAGTTAAGGGTCACCACATTCAACACTCCAATGCCAACCCCCAATGCCCCAGGGTTTTATTCAATAGAAACACCTGAAAGAGGAAAACTCTAAACTGACTGTTGGGCATGGAGGATTAGCTGCTCAGAGCAGGTAACCATATACACAGCACCCTCGACAACCCAGTATAGGCTCACAGGAGATTCCTGTTTGACTGGGTGGCTCTCTTGTTACAGAGATGAGTAAGAGGTATAGTTGGATTTATAATAATATAAGCTGTTTACAGAGTTTTTCTCCACTTAGCATTTCATCCATTAACATCAAAGGTCTTAATGACAATTTCTTTAAAAACAACCTCATTCTGCATCTACATACCCCTCAGGTTTCTTTTCCAAGGAACCCAGAGTGAGACAGTCTAGCTTTCACTGATTTTCAGTGTGTACTTGTGAGGATGGCTCTTTCTAAGCTTTCTGGAGTTTGCCCCACTTCTGCTTCCCTTCCAGCAACTGCTCATGTGTTGTTCTCTGTTCATCCATCCTGTGCTCCTACAGCCCTGGGGACTATGAGAACTGGCTCCATACAGTTGGAAAGCCACAGACATGGAAGAGATGTCAGACATCATCTAAGCCAGCTTGTTCTCCGTAGCCCATGCTTCAATTCCCCTGCAAAATCCTTGCCATGCGGTCACCGGCTCATGCTTCAGTGCCTCCCACGACAGTGGACTCGCTGTGTCCCAAGGCAGCCAGGCTGTTTTTAGACGCACTAATGAGCAAGTTGTCCTCAGG